ACAAACGCCGTCTAGGCCAGCCGACAGTGGGTCATTTGCGTTTTCCCGTCCGCGATCCGAGGGATGAGCTCGGGAAAGCAATTTATGAATAATTCATGCGCGTACCATTATTTATGCAGACGCAATATTAGAACATTACTTGAACATGGATACTCTGGCAAATCTAGGCGTTATTTCATGAACAATATGCATATTGCATTGCCTTCCTTGGTTTTTGTTGTGGATTCTGATGATTGGGTGTTGACAACTGTGTCTTTTTATAGTCATTGGGAGGGGAGGGTATATCCAAAACAAGTTGATCTTAAGTGGGGAATAAATGAATTATGAAACAGAAGAGAGAGAAAGGACACCTTCCGGAGATGAGGATACCCTCAGAAAAAGGAGGACATGCACATTACAGAGGAGTATCTGAAAATCTAACAATCTGGCATCAAAACCTCTATAAGAAGTTTAATTTCGAATTCGTTTCAAGCAATTTTGGCTAACAAAATAAAAGGGAATAAGCAAGAGAGTAAATTCAAAACACTTAAACCACTTGAGTTGTGCTTCTGTATCCGTTTTACAAGATGCGTTTTGTTTATTTTGTGCTTTATCATCACTTCGTAGTTTGTTCTTGGAATTTTGGAAACAAGTTCATGATTTATCTCAAATACGATGACGAGACATCCCAAAAATAAACTCGTGCCCTGATGTCAACGCGTCTGATGTTCACGCATTCAAAGTATGCGCGGATGGCGAGCTATGCGCGTCTAGGCCCCGCCCCTATCTAGTGATGAGTCTCTAGCTCTCTGATGACTCATTGATAAAACCGCATCCGAGTGAATCAAGACGTCTACGAGATGATGAAGACGTCTGGATGAGACAGCGATGAGACAGCGCGGTGAAGGTCAGGGAGGATTCTAGATTTGACACCAGTCGATAGGTCCGTGCATATGCTGGTCTGAACCTTAGAAGAGGAGGCACAAAGCCGGAGGTCCTTCTAATGCGAAAGCTCGGATGAAGAAGTTTGCATCCGGGGAAGACTTGAACAAGTTTATGTAATGGTGCTAAACCGCGCGTGAAAAGCACGCGGGTTGGCTCGTTGCTGTGAGAAATACGTACTCTCATCAATGATGCATCGGATACGACTACACTGCATTAACTACATGTTCCAATCGCATTGCAATCTAGTCTTTGGATTGCTTCAGTAAATGACTCGAGTCTCAAATAATTATGACTCGGCGATTTGCGTTCATCAACGCCAATCTTATATCGTCTGGATTTTCCCAACAATAATCCAGCGCTACACTTCACAAAGCTTTTCAAACTTTCATTCATCAAAACTTGCATTCAACAAAAAAAACCAGTACATTCCATCAATGCATATATTAACGAATTGCACGATTTCATTTTAAATCGATTCGTGTTAAGTATAGGCCTACATTATGTCATTCAATTCCAGATGATAACATTTTTCGCCTTTTGTGTCCACTCTTAAGAAATGCGCTTTAAAGTTAGGCCCATAATTAGTTTGACCAACAGTCGGTCAAACATCCTAAGAGGCACGCTGTGCTACTGGCTACTGAGCCTTCACCATTCTCCTTCGTCTCAATGACTTCCCAGTTTCCATTTCTCTTCGACATTTATTACTGGAAAACCCGATCGCCTTTGTTATTCACGTGCAAATAACGACGGGGTTTACCTGTACCGCTATGTGCAAATCTCTTCTCCCGCCGACCAAGTTTTGTCTGGGAAGCTTCGCCCGGCTTTTAGCCTCTTTTCTTCTTCAGCCTTTTGGGGGCAGGCCAAGCAGAAGTAAAATGGGCGGTATTAAGTTTGAGCCTAAAGTCAATGATCAGCCCATTGTGTGCGCGACAAGGGCTTATAATTAAAGAACTCGAAGAACGAGTTGAAAGTGGTTTAATGTCGCCGTTAGTGAGGCATAATATCCCAACAGAAGTCTACGCTTTTATGGTAACCCAAAATCGTTTCACAGTTTTGTCGATCTCTCTTCTTCTGTAGTTGAGAACGGAAATAAAATCCCATCCATCAAGCAGATCTAGTAATAGGAATCGAAGATTAGCTTTTATTTCAGTTTGTACCTCCAAGATTTTATTGAAAGATTCTATACCACCGTTCTCCATCACTCTGGATGTTTCTCAATCGTCTTAGCCCGTGAATGAATCGACAAATCTCAATAAAAAAAGAGACGATCATCTTCGTATCATTTTGTACTTCTTGGAGAAGTGTTAAAACATGACTTTATGACACAGGATTGAAAAGAGAGCCCAATCAGTGAATTTATAACAAGACTACTATTCAAGAGGAGGATTGCTTGTTTTGTCTCAGCTCAGACTGATTGCTTGTTTTTTGTCTCAACAAGCAAATCATGCAACATGCGAGCAACATTTTACAAAAAAAAAATGGCAAGGCTTTGCCAGCATCTCTTTTTGCTTCGGCAGTAATTTGTATTTAGTACATGTTTTCCGGTTGAAGTTTGTCTTGTAAGCATCGCGAGCCTTGTGCAAACAGAAAACGAGGAAATGAAGACGAGAAATCAGGCTGCGATGTCGCGCCTCCTGCACAACGAAGAGAATGCCAGGGATGTGAGTCAGGTATGCGGTCTCCATAGCAACCAAGACAAACAGGCATTCCAGCAGGCAGTCTACATCTGGGGTCTGCTGGAAATCTTCAAAGTCTGCGGTCGCTGTGTGTACACGCCCACTTGAATTGATAATTTATTGGACCGGTCTAGTGGGCCGGGCAAGAACACATCTTGTTGAGGGATGTGATGCTCATCACTCGCGAGCGTCCAGGAGCAGTTATGTTATAAGAGAGAAGGACCTGGGTACTGATGTCACCATGAGTTATCCGTTTAAGAATGGTTGAAACAACAACATTGTTGTGACTCAGGATGGAATCATTTGCTGGGGAAGTAGTCAGAGTTTATTCAAAGGAAAGGTGTCATCAGTCACGACCTTGTTCTTTTCAGAACATCAGACGGGGTTTTGTTGGCTGCTGTACTAACAAGCAAAACCCAACAATTTCTCACAAACGAAACTGACGGAAGTGTCATGCACAGATATGTAATTTTTGAGACAATCCAATTGTTTTCCCCATTTCTTTAAGCTGGGGACTTTGAATAAGGCACATAGAAAAGCACATCGTATTAATTTACAAAAAGAGACCGCTACATTTTAAGTTAAAGGGAAAATACAACATTTGCAAACATCAAAAAATAAAACTACCAAATTATTTTGAAATACCTTGCTGGACTGTTAGTGAATGACAGTGTAAAGCATTCTGTAAAATCATGGCACCTGGTATACTGTCATTTTCAAGAAAAGTGGTATTTTTGTATCAATTTCCAACGCTGATCGGCCGATCAGCGTTGGAAACAACTGGCTTTTTTCAAATACTGGCCCCAATTGACCATCGCACTTGTTTGCATTCGATTACAAACCTATGGACGGGTACGAGCCAGCTAGACTGGTTCCCTGACCTTACAATTCCCTAATGTATGTATATAAACTGCTCTGTTTCTTCTTATATGGAGTCAGGGAACCAGACTACAGGAAAATGATCGTTTTTCTTGGTTTTTATAGCATTTTCGAACCCAAAACCTCAAAAAAGTCAGTGTAACTATATTTGCTATATATTTCCAACCCCCCAATTCCATCCATTTCTGAAAATTACAGCAAGAGCAAATGATGTATATTCCCTTTAATATGGGTCGTGTATAGTTCAGACTGTGACGTGACTCCCAATGTATGCACTTCACAAGTTCCTTGTCCACCGAGCTAAGTTATTCCTCCACAATTCATTGACGGTCTTTTACACACACAAAAACTATTTAAAGTCAAATCCGGTCCCCTACTTTTATTTCCTAAAACACTCTTTCAATTTCAACTTTTCAGTCGTAACCTAAAGTATTCACGGAATGTTTTTTCCCAGCGGCATTGATATCGAATAGTTTACTTTCATTTTCAAAACTTTTTGGAACTCCACTTGTGGCCCGCAAGGTCGTGGGAACCAGCCGAGCCCACAAGAGCCCCATTGTTGAACTGAATGGCGCCACCACACGGTGGCTTGGGGTAATTTATTACGTTCGTTATAAAAACAGCAGCCGTTCCTCGATTTTTTGGTTGAATCTGGATTAATGAAGATGATAATTACATCGAAAATAGTTTGACTTTTGATTCAAAATAGTCTGCGCGCATTTGGACATGATGACAGTTGGCTAGTTATCATTCACTCTTTTTCAAATCGACTTTCCATTATATTTTATCCACGGACAAATTTCTTCCCAAATTACAATTTGTACCTTCCGCCAAACCGATACATGTACAAAAAATGTACTAATTTTATTGTATCAACAACCCCTAAGCTCCCCCTTTCCAAAATCGCTAAAAATAAAGAACAAAACAGTCGGTCTTTCTTGGAGTGCTAGGGGAAATGGACACCGACTTCTTTATTCAGGGGTATTACTGAGTGACCACTGACAAAAAAATAGCTGAAAACTGCTGAAAAAGGTGTAAAAAAGCCAACTTTGTGAATCTTCTATACTTTTGTACACAGCAAGTGTGGGAAAAAGCTGAAATCCAACACCAAAAAAAGCTGAAATTAGCTTTAAAGCTGAAATTTCACACCCCTGTTTATTTCCCTAATGCAACTTTCGAACATTTCCAATTTGAAAATATTTACAAACGCTGCTCAAAACGGTAACATTTATTTTTCCATGGAGCTCACTTCTCACGGTAAAATTCCCCTTCACGTTGGCCGTCCGGGATCCGACGTCAACTTGTTTGAAACTTGGCATGCCAACCGCGGTGCACACACCCCCTCATGAATATTAATGACATTCCAGACGACAAAAGGTCACCCACGTGACTGAAATGGCGCGCTTTTGCAGATAAAGAAACTGTGTGTACACAATTATTTAACACAGCTGTTGCGTACATGGGGATTAACCGGCACTGGACACGCATATACAACAAAGAAACGCAAAACTACACGGGGTATTTAAAAGCCATCGTTGAAAGTATATTTTCTGGGTTTTTCTCGTACACTTGCAAGACAAACTAGCAACAATTTTATAGTGATCAGAAATTAAAAGAAAAGCAACTCCATACGGGCGGTATTTGCAACTTGTAAACTGGCAGTGGAAAAAACTTAGAAAGTAAACGACATCAACAGCAACTCCTTAATTAACAAATTTCAATTGTTAAAACGTTTGCATTCAAATAATGGTAAATTTTACTTGGTCATTCAAATAAACTGGAAGATTTGCATGAGGGTTAATTTGAAATCAATCAGAAATTAATTTTTCTTTTTCTCAGATATACAGTGTTTGAAACCATTTTAAAACTATTTGAAAATTCCTTGAAAAAACTGGAGATTCAGATAAAATTTTGAAGTGGTGGTCATTGCTAAAATTTTGATAGCAATAATGCTTTTTGGTAAAATGATCAGTTCTTATCAGAAAGACAACAAATTCATTTTGTTTGACAAACCAGCCACATTTTCATAATCATTTTTCTTATATTTTTTTGAAAATCAAGTTTTGACCAAAAAGGAACTTCCTAGCTCCGAATTCGTTAAAAATGCTATTTCAAGTTACAAATTCCCAAGAAATTCTTTTTAACCTAACAAGAACTCCCAACCCAAGAACTAGGCTTGATTTCTTTCATTCTTCTTTAAATTCACTAATTAAAAGGATTCAAATGCGTAAGCTCTTTTATCTCAAAAATCAAAAAATAAAGTAAGAAAATAGAAGTTCAATAAAGTTTGCACATTGAAATAATATTCTGAAGAAAAAAACAAACAAGCCACCAAAAAACCCAAATAATCATCAGACGTTATTTGTAATGAGAAATGATGCAAAACAAAAAAACATGCACAAGTACAAAGTAGTTTGGCTTCATGCAAGTATGGAAATGCTGGTGAAAGTCCTTTGAGGTCAGAACAAACTCTTCTTTTCATCTGCTTCTTTCAAAGTACTTTCTTCAGTACTTTTCGTTCAAAATGTGCAAAGCATTTAATTTTAAGGTTTTCGAAAAATGGATCAACAAGCCTAGCTTTGACAAAATATGTCATTTCGGAACAGTATCGATCTTTGCTCTCAGTTGTCCTTCAGCTCTAAAGACGAAGTCTTTTGAGGTCCAGACATAATTGTTGACCAAAAAGACGAGAAACAGAAACAAACTTTCTTGGGCTTCCACGACAGCTTTCATTTTTCTCGTAAGGCTCTAACTTTTGTTAAATGTGCATGTTAAAAAATATATAAAAGAATTACAAAACATAATTAGATATAATATGAGAAGAACTAAAATATTGTGACATACATCTGTTATTTTGTTTGCTTTGATACATTATATACAAGGGCTGTAAACTCATACAGACCGAACAACTCTTTCAATACAAACCAATCGCAAAACCTATTTACAAAAATAAACATTTCTTCTATGAATCGCTTCTCACAAACTGTTCCAAGTCCCTTCTCATCAGCTGCTCAGTTACAACAAGGCAGTTCTTGTTTTCGCAAGTCTTCCAGAGTTTCTCTGCGATAATAGTTTGTTTCCATCCAACAAAAATAGGAGGACTCCACTTTCACTTTATCAAACAGCCCAGGATTAAGAAAACCTCAGCAAATTCTTCAATTTGCAAGAAGCCTCTCAACTTGTCCTAACGTCCTTGGTCCCAAGTTCAAGGTTTGGGGAAGTGTTTTTACATCGGCACAGATGCCAGCAAGGCTTCCAGCCGCTCCCTCAAATGAAGGTTCCTTCTGTTTTCTGTCTCATACTCCATCTTAAGACTCTCCTCCTTGTCTTGAAGGCTGATGACATAGTCCGTTGCTTTCTTGAGAATGACGACTTTGGCAGCACGCTCCGAGGAGTTCAGCTCTGGCACCTCATCCCGCAGGTGAAGGAAGCTCGTCCTGAGATCCTCCCGCCTCTTTCTCTCCAAGACGTTGTGACACGCCCTCTTCTCCGTATCCTCCGAGTCGGAAGACGGATGACTGCCAGGCTGACTGGAAGGAAGACTGGAAGGCCGACTGCTGTTGCGGCTGCTCCCGCGACTGCTCCCTCGACTGTGACTCGAGGATGAGGTCCGGACCAGATTGGACTTCTGCAACATCTGCTTGACTTCCTCCAGGTTGCCCTCTGCCCTCAGCTTCTTAATCGGGATGGCGAGGATGGTAGCATTGGAAGGGCGCCCCCGCTTGCCAAGTAAGGTGATATTGATGGCCTGTTGTTGCTGTTGCTGCTGCTGCTGCGATGATTTAGGCTTTGTCGTCTGATGTCTGTGGTAGGGTCTTGTCGTGGCGTGCGACTTGTGATGATGATGGTGGTGGTGCTGACTGGAAAACTTCTTTTCAACTGTTACGACGTCAATTTCTTCTTCTGTGAAGACATAAGAAAAGAAATCTCATTAAGGACGACGCTCTTTTAACTTTCAAATGGCATACCAAGCTTGCCTGATGACCATGCCATACAAAAAAACCCATTCAAATTAAATGACCCGAAAAAGAAATAAATCTAATCTCTGTAAGTGGCCTGACCTCCAAAGTACCAATTGAACCCAAACCCAGACAGACAAGATGGTAAAAGAAAAATCTAGGGAAGGTCTGAGCTAATCGACTTGTCTGCCTTTATGGCCACATAAAAACAGGAGACGGGGAAAAAACCCAAGCAAGTCTTGAGGTTTTATTCCAATTTAGTTGTCATCCCTTATAACACTAATCAAGGTCAGCGTGTGTCCGAGTTAATCATTAAGATGCAGGCCCACCACAGGTCGAGACTATTAATCTGATGCAATCCTAGGTTTTTATAGTAGTGGTCTCCTTTAATTTGTTAAACCGTGGAGCAAAGAAGATGCAACGAGACGTGCATCTGAGGCACCAAGATGCTGCAAGATATATTTATTTATCAACGTTTATTTTGTCAATTCTAAATACAGACTACTGCATTTTTCAATTTTTGAAAAAAAAATAACTGCCGGTTCATCTTGGTGTTCATTACAATTGTAGGATTATTTTTCTCTTAAACAAAATTCCAACATTAAGATTTTAATAAAAAAAAAAGTGTTTACATCAGTGTTGTAGTCGAGGCCACAACCTCCGAGGCCGAGGCCACAATCTCCGAGGCCAAGGCCGAGGCCGAGGCCACAACCGCAAGGCCAAGGCCAAGGCCGAGGCCACCACCTCCGAGGCCAAGGCCGAGGCCGAGGCCAGCTATCAAAGACGTAATAAAATGTAAATCACTAAAACAAGGCTAAGATTATGTTGGAGTTTTAACATCTTTTTAGTTGAATTCACTGAGTTTCGGAGTGTCTGGCTTACAAATTTACAGCTTGCAATGGGTTTCCTCTTGTAGGGAGTCCGGCGAATTTTATTTTTTAAAGAAAGAAATCTCAAGTTTTGTATCACTGAAAGCAAATTACACAACAAATCAATGGCGTTTGATTCAGGCTCATAGATGTTTGCCCTTAAATGGCCAAATTTTGAGTTTCTATTCTGTAAGATTTACATTATTTACTTTTAGCATGTTTTATAAATCTTATTTTCAAAACCTATCAAAATGCTTAATATCATAGGAATCCCCATTAAATAAACAACAACTTGATTTAGTGAATCCGGTTTTTACCACTCATAACCAAAAAGTTACGACCTCCCCCCGACCTTCGCACTGTCCAGGTGCGCGCCGAGCAAACGCCGCGATGCGAACAGACAATGCCAGACGGCCCGCCGTTACGCACGGGCAAAGCATAGTTCCAATCCCGCTCCACACAACGGGATAAGTGTCCACGCATTATCACTGTTAATACTGCGGTACCAGACAAAGTCTGGCAATGGCCAATCCCGCCCCAAACAACACGGCAACACGGAACATGCGTGCATGATATCACTCAGTTCATCAAAATGACCATGAATTCTCGGATCATCCGATTTGAATCCAATGGCCTCGAAGAATTTTAAGATCATGGCAAGAGGTAGGGAGTCCAGAGGTTTTGGCCGTATATCTGTAACCACGCAAAATTAGTCAATTTCAAACCGTGCTTATACATGTAATAAGTATCAACATGGCTCTAAAAATACAAAAAAGTATCCTGGTACCACGAGGAATACTAACTCCTATTATTAAAACATTCATTCAGAACTTTGCATTTTTTTGGATGGAACAACGAATTCTGAAATCGCGCTTTCCATATCGACCAGTTGCGCCAAACATTACCGTGTGAGCCGGAACTTTCAAATAAAATCACCGTGTAAAAATAAAATCTACTTGATAAATCGTAACTGTTTTTATCATATCTTTATGAAAAAAAAATGGTACGGACTAGTACACTCGATCGTACCCAGAAAGTGCAGACTTTTACTGAAACAGTGGCCTATAAAAAGAAATGATTAAGCTTGACGCACCTTGCCGCAAATCATTTTTAAAGGTAAACGAGAAAATTGTGTACAACACTGCAACCAGACTAGTCTACTACCACATGTTATTGTACGCAGATGGGATTGGTGCCAGACTTATGCAGTGATCTGGCACGCAGTAACAGTTATAACGCACGTGGAAAGCTGAAGCGCAGGCTAGGCGAAGATGCTACGTACGTGAGTACGTTCAATGCAACCATTTCCAGTTCATTCGTGCGTACATCGTATATGCGTTCGTTTCACGGAACCCACTGCGGCAGAATCTCGAGGGTTTGATACGGTAAAAAATTAAACTTACTTAGAATAGAAAACACATCAAAATGGGCGGCCTCGAGCCGGCCTCGACCGATTCGCCGAGGCCGGAAGGCTCCGAGGCCGAGGCCAAGGCCGAGGCCTTGCACCTCCGAGGCCAAGGCCGAGGCCAAGGCCATGAAAATCGGCCTCGAGGCCGGCCTCGAGGCCGAGGCCGGCCTCGAGACCTCCAACACTGGTTTACATACTTGCGGATGATATTAAGCCAACATTCCCTTATAATGCTTAATTCAATAGTAGAAGGGTGTCGTTCAAGGATTTTAAATGTTCAAAATCTCAAGGTATGTTTCTCTGCTGTCTTTTTTTAATGAAATTGACCTCTTTGACATTTCTAGTCAACCTGTATTTACAAACAAAAGCCTTGCATGTTAAGTACTCATGTGTGGGCAGGGTTTTTACGCGGGGAGACGAATTCAGTGTACCTACTACAATATGGGGACGGCTTCTGTTTAGATACCTACTCGAATGGAGTGGGTGGATGTTATATCGTGGGTGGTTTTTTTTATGCTCAGCTTGGGCCTTCATAACTAATGAACCATGGACAGTACGTAGGTATACTTCTGTTCTGTCTGATAATTAACTAAAACACCGTCATTCAAAATCATCCTGAAGTAGGACATCTGCCAAAGGGTGGGTGGCATTTAATAATTTTTGTCCAAAAAATGTTACTGTTGGTTTTATGTTGCGCAAGAAAAGTGATCGCTTTGAATGAAAACCCAACTTCACCTGGGCAATATTATAACCTTTGCTATAGAAAGCTCAGGAAGATACCAACTCTGGTTTAACGATATAGGGCACTGAATATTTATATCCGAGCCACAAATGTTGACTGAATGATAACGCTGATGTAATGTATAGTTAACAGAAAGATAATGGTCTTGTGCAATATTTACAATCTGATTTGGCATTTTCAAGTATGGTCAATGTTACTCAACTGTACACAATGTTCTTCTCAGATTTTTTTTCTCATTTCACTAATTAAAAAAATCTCCTAATCACTATATCCACTTTTCATATCGCACCCCTCCATTTTTCTTTTAAAACCGAAAACAAGGTCATATGCAGATTTAGTCCTATAAAACGTCCATTGATTAAGTGATCACTGTAATGTAAGTGTAACAAAAAAATATCAAATGGAAAATTTACTGTTGGCATTTTATTTTGAATTTAAGTTTTTAAATTTTGCCAAGTGCAAAGTATTTTCGTGGATCACATTGTAAATCGATTTTTTTTTTTGTGTGTTGGAGTTCAGGTATTGCGCAACACCCAGCAACTTGTCGTCTGATGGAATTGCAATCCACTGCACAGTGCCTAGTTCACAAGCTTGTCACACAATACTCATGCTGACACGACAGCTACAGATAGTAGTGCGTCCATATGGCAAACTAAGGCATGACTCTTGCGCAATCATAACAAACGGTGAAGCAATAGGCAATACCGGTCATAGTACAAAGTAGGTTACATATGTTACTGAACAGAAAAAAAATCTTTCTGAAGCAAAATAATCTCAATCTTCAATTTAACATAAGATGGGTTTTTGAGATTTAACAAAAAAAATCCCAATGGCACATTAACACAAAAATGTGAACATGTGAAGCCATAAAACATTCAGTTTGTGAAAAAGTCAATTGAGTCTGTCTTTAATCCTCTTTTTGTGAAGGGTTGTAAAGTTGTGGTTTCTTAGTTTATGGCCCAACATTTAAGGGAGGTGTTAACAGAAAAGACAGCACTTGTGAACACACATCTTAGTGCCTTTGATTAACACCTCTTTGTAAGGGTTGCAAACACATGTTCCCTTCCCATGTCTGGCCACTGACTGGGAAAACCACAGACCACAATAACTTCAAAGCAAGTTCACAGGCCCAGCTGGAGGCCATTGTTATCAAGGCTGAAAAGGAGGACAGTATAGCAACTGGGTGTAAAAGGAGCTTCTGAATGAGATCTTCAACAAATCCTTCAGGTTTTTCATGGCAGGACTAATTGGGGGCTAGAGTTAAGCAGCTATAAACCCATGGCTTTAAAGGATTGTTGGCTATCCACACTGTGCTTTTTTCAATTGTGTGATGTTTGTTGTTCTTAATCCAAAGGGTTAAATGAAACTTCTTGTAAAGTTTACGCGCTATTTATGATGCGAGAAAAGATCTTTCAGTAAGCATTTTAGCAACATCTCCCAGGTTGTAAGAAACACTGATCAATTAAATTGTCAAATGGTCATTTTTCAATGTCTCTTTGACCCACAACTTTATGAAGAGTTAAAAGACTATGTATTAAGCTACAACTAGCTTGGGCATTCTGTAAAAACAACCCTGGGATATGAAAATTCATGCTTGCTCCTTGGCTTGGCATAAGCTGTACAGTCAACCAAGTTACATAATTGTGAATTTATAATCTTGAATCATACACAGTGATACTCTAGCATGTCTAGGGTCCTAGTATTAAGTTTGGAATTGTTTCCTGGACAGGGGATATGATTCAACCACACTGCAAGGTTGTAGGGGCCTAATAGCTGTGCAGGTGTAGAGGGCAATTCCTGAGCAAAACTTGACCTTAGCAAACCTAGGCTATACTTAATATTGTAAACGAGGTACGAGCTGTGGAGAAAAAAGGTTAGCCTACTTCAAATTTTTTTTTTGTCAGAGCAGTTGAGATACTTACCAGAGTCTGATGGTGTATTTGTTCCTGTGCTGAATAAATCCAATCGCGTCTCGCTCAGTGGGTAAGGGAAGACTGCTGATGGGTCAACACAGTCCGACGACCCGTACTCTGATGCAGGCACCAGGGGCGGGAGCATCTGAGAGTTTGTGGACGATGCGGCTTTCTTGGGTTTCTCCTCGCTCTTTTTCCCCGTCTTCATGAAGAACTTCCGCCGTTCCTCGGCGATGATGCTGCTCCACATGCAGTCCTGAATCAGGGGTGGGGTGACCGGGGACTGGGCGCGGAAGACCGGATCGGTGAAATGACACTTGTGCGTCATCCAGGGGAAATCCTCATCGTCCATGAGGATGTTGGTGACTTCGTGAAGAAGATCCGACTCCTCCTCAAATTTGAGATTGTGCTCCACCTCTCTGTCGTCTTCGTCAGGATGACTGGGGCTGAGCGGAGGGGTCGGGTAGAGCTCAAACTTGTTCCAGATATCCTCGCCGGGGGTGGGCGGGGTCACGCTGGAGGCGTAAAATTCCTCCTCCTGTTCGGCGCCCATGAAGCAGGAATCCACTTCGCTGTCGTCCAAGGAGTTGACTTCTGAAGTCTCCGAGGAGCAACGGTGGTAGTTGTGGTCGCGATGGTCGCAATATCGGAGTGATATGACCGATGCCATTGTGAATGCTGCTTCTTATAAATCCAATGTACTGGAAAAACCGGCAACAGACCTAAAAAAAAATGGATCATGAAAATTAGTCTCAAATAGCACCATGTACTGAATTTGCATGTATTTGTTCGATTGGTGAAATAGAAACAAAAGTATTACATTGTAAACATTCAGTGTAGCCTAGGCCTGTTTGCAAGTGACAAGTGTATACAAACTTGAAATACGCGCTTGACGAACACGGAAGTGAATACACTGAACAAGGTCAAACATACATGACATGTGAGACAATTTTATACGTCAAAAATCGATCATTTCAATGTAAAAATCACACACCATCAATGTGTAATACTGCTCTGCTTACGGACTTCCTCAAGTCTGAAGATAAATCGGTGTTTTGAGGTTACATTCTTGAGTCGGTGACTCAATGGTCAAGTTACTCATACTGCACTGTCAAGTCATTTCGCCGAACAAGACAAAATCTAAATTGACATGACAGGCAACGCCGGCCATGAAAATAAATGACATGTACCGCTCCTACAGTAATATAAAATTGCTTGAGCATTGCATTAAAAATTACTAGCACTCTTACAAGTAATTTACTTCTTCCATCTTTAGAAATGCAGTAAAATTTAAACATCATTTCAGTTCCAATTACATGAATTACAGCGACTGTCACCCGCGGGTTTTGAAATGGGGCGTTCCTTACAATCTCATGAATGAAACGCACGGGCATTTAAATCTGTAATTCCACACATGCCATCCAAAAACACAACACTTCGCTCGCAAAATTCAGCATTTTCCTTTGATGATACAAGCGAATAACGACAATCATGTACTTGAATATAAGATTTCAACGTACCTTGATAACGGAAACAGTCCCAAACTGCTACAGGAAACGAATTTCCACTGTAAGGTTTGGTGTTCAGCGCGACACAGGAACAAGCTGTGAACTCGGTGAACCCAGTTTTACTACGAGCTTGTGAGGAAATCCCGCTAATAAATGCACCGGCAAAACACCGGTAAATATTACTCCGCGCTGACGGTGACTGCACGGGGGTGCCACTCCTATTCGAACACTGCTGAATCTTCACAAAGCGATCGCACATAATTAGCTCGAATAAAAATAAATAACTTTGAGATAACTCAGGATAATTATTCAGTTATATTTAGTTAAGACATTTTAGGGAAAGAAACTTCAGTGCCGTTAAAGGGAATGACGGCTCATCTGGAAATTTAGTTTCGTTTAAGTCGGATTTTTGAGCGAGACAATTTTTGCAAAATGTGTTGCAAGATAGTGTGTACCCGCTTTAGGTCATGATCTACTTTGTCTAAAAACATGTATGTTATTATTTATTAAAAAGCGAAAACAACGCAAAAGTGGATGAAGTAAAGGCTTAAGATGATGAGGTCAAACACCATTGGGACATCTTTCTATAATTTTCACTACTTGCATGTTTTTTCTCAAATATTGCGCAATATTATTTTCTTTGACGCGGAAGGTTTTCTGATGGAAACATACGTCCTTGTGGGCGGGGCCGTAAAAGCCCGCGCCACAGCTGCTAGCCAATCACAAGAATCAGTCATCAAAGAGACCGTTTCATTTCACTAAAGGGGTGTTTCTTTTGTGGAATGCCTGTCTGCTATCGCCTTTTTGTGTTGGATAAAGAAGGGCAAGGTAGTTACGACACAAAGAATTTCTTTGCTTTGGAGCATTATCTGCGGTCTTTAAATATACCCTGGTTACGTACAACCGCGGGTGCTAGCTCTATACATGTACATGTACAACACAAACTCGTGTACCGTGCAAGTGAATCGGCAATTACTCTTCGAAATTCCTCCAGAAATTCCAATACTCTACAATTCTCTAATCACACCACACAGTATGCGAAGTTGGGTAACAAGTTTTGTCACATCGATACATTGGAACTGTGGGATATTAGAATTAAAAGTCCACATAGGGGGCATGCCTTTTCATGAAAGCTTCGAAAGCAAATTTTGATATTTTAACAGGGCTGCAGAATTTAGTTGTATCAGATGCAAACATATCACACCATGACCTTATTTTTTGGTGAAAATCAACGAAGAGAAAAAGAAGTTTATTGTGAACAACATCAACTCTTCTTGAAAATGGTAACAGTTCTGACGGCTATATTTGGAAACATCTTATTAAAACGTACGGAGAAGTACACATCCTTGCAAGTAACGGCATAATCCAACGGTTACAAAAACTGCATTTTCCCTAAAAAAAAAACATTTTTAGGGGATAACCATCTCATAGCTCACCCACCTCTGGCCCGCAGCAATGAAAGTTTGTACGCCCCAGTTGAATTTTGTATAATTCCGTATGACTGCGTAAAAAAAAGATCGAGTGTCGGTACGGTACGCGTATGCGGTACAAAGAAGTTCGCGCGCCGGTGCGGAGTTTCCGGGCACATTGCCAAAACAATTGTAATACAAAGTTAATACATTTGCAAGTAAAGTACCAATATCATTTCCGCTGTATGTACTGCGCTAACAACAAAGCCGATTGTACAATGTACATTTACTTGATGTAAATTGCACGGTGTTCAGTAGTGCATCACATGTACACGTACATGTACAATATTACTAATGGGATTTATTCGTATGTGCACACAATAGGCAAAAATGACATCAATTTTTACGGGCAGACTTGATAGTCAACTATCATTGTATACGTATCACCACAATTATCAGTACTAGCGTACTTTGTGTTTATAATAACTTGATTAGGACAATGGTTTCCGTTGCGGTACTAGTTTTGCAAGGCCATCGGTTTTGTAAGTTTTAAAGTGGACAGATTCAGATACCGACCTGTTTAGAGCCTAGGCCCTATTTATTGTACGTGGACATTTGGTTTTCTCGCTTTAATATGCTGAATAATAATTTGAATCACATGACTTCAGTAATTGTTTTACTCTAGACTAGAGGAGGGAAGGTGGGCGGGGGGGGGGGGGGGCTGATTGTTGCGTTTCTCACCCCTCCCCTGGGTTGCTCCCCTCTCAAAAGTGTACCCGTGTGTAGGCCACACATACTCCCTCCGACCGGGATGTCTCGGAGGCGTGAGTCAATTTAGCTGTATCCATGGCAACAACGTGTGTGACTATGCTTTGAGACGCCTCACTTATACACCACCTAGTAACAAGAAAAAAAGGGGGGAAAGGTCTTTCACATTTGTATCACTTTTGAATGTATTGACATTTCCTGTCTTAAAACTTAGTGTAAGAAATCATCCCTGGAACTTGAAGAAGCACACAATTAGAGGACGCCAGTGACCTTAAACAAAATTAATAAAGTTCGAGCCTTTTTCATTCCACTGCAGTGATCAAACAAAGACGTGAACTTGTTAAAACAAAGATAGAAAGCTCACAAAACTAAAGATATGATACAATTTTTCAATAATAACGAACATTTTAGCACCCTGGAATTAGTGATATCTTGAGTGTTTGCACTGGGACCTTTATCGTGATTATAGTACAGCCTCGTGATGTACATTTAGATCGCAAGATAAACGTACGTAAATTCATATCCAACTCCAAGTAGTTGCTGGTTTGAACTGGTTATGCCTGTTGAATTATGTTCTTCTGGTACAGTCACTCAAAAGTCAACACCAGTCGGCAGGTAGGATAAATCCCTTCCGCAAACAAGGCGATGTTATCGGGGAAGTCATTGTCTATGGTCTAGGGCCTGGAATTTACATTGTCCCGACGGTGTCGTACGATCAGGGTCGAGCAGGGGGCTTTCCTTGACCATGGTATAGGGGAAGGGGGGGGGGCAAGTCGGCAAGATAACAAACAGGGTATCAGGCGAGCTGATGAGTACGTTATCGCAAGGGCTTACGCCCTGGCCTTACGTAAGCTGTATAAAGCAGGTTTATCCGGTAAAAAATACTCTAACATTGAATATGCCCCTCACCTCCACCCCGCCCCCCAAAAGTCATCGTGGTGAATATTTCAGAGATGGCAATATTTATTGTAACGATATTTATTTCCAACCATTTACCTTCAATCCTTCGAAATTTCCAAAGATTTTCCAAAAGGAAAATAAATCTGTGAAAATTTGGTCATCTAAAAATTCATTTCATCCATCCATGACCTATCAAAGCGCGCCTTGTTTTCTGATGGATGCTCTGGTGAATCCCTCTTCCCCTGATCAAACCTATACATACAACAAAGTCATAACTGAACAAAAGTTTTGCACCAAATGATTGTGACCGAAGAAACCATGAATGACTCTAGCTCCTCAGTCAAAAGTTCAAAATCTGAGTTTAAAGTGTAAAGAACAAGAGATATTTCTCATGCAATAGGCTAGGGTCATCAACGTACAAAGCCTTCGAGTGTGCTTAGCAACCACTTGACAGCGACATTTGCAATATTAACGTTTATTTGCAAGTCAAGAGCTTCATATCCGGTACAACAAGTCCAAAGTTCGAAAATCCGTGCATGAACTTGATGCTTTCAAATACTGTAATCGGGATATTCTAAAATGATAGGGCCACCCATGACCTCATTGATTACTCAATCAATGAAAGAGATATTTTAGAAATAGGCCTTATGTAAATTAAAAATTATTCAAATTGTCCGGAACAAACACAATTCCCCCCCCCAAAAAAAAAATCTGCTATAACGGTACGAATTAATTATAGGTTCAAAATATTTAACTGTAAACGTGACAAACGGAAGTCAACGTTTACTCAACAAATAAAAAAGGGAAGTAAAAGTTTCAACAATCTTTATTTAACATGTTATTTATTAATTACCCACCACCTAGCCCCTGGTCCCCCCCCCCCCCGCCCCCCTAAAAAAAAACTGTAGGAATTTGAGTACATGCTAAGAGATTTCATGTTATTGATATTTGGCAGATTTTTTTTATTTCAAATTTATAGGCAGGGAAGGTAAAGGATTATACAAAATCAACCGCATTCCTCTTTTTTTTTCAATTCGCAACCGTTCCTTTAACTTTACCGCATTCGAATTCCCCCTCCGCGCATACAAGGGGCAATATTATGAGACAAGTTCATGAGAAAGTGGGCCCCATGAATGTTGCTCTTTTTTCAGTTACACAAATAGCCGTTGTTGCTAGAGATTAACCCTGACACTTAACCTTGGGAGGCCGGGGTTGCGAGACTAAAATATCTCAGCGATGAATCAAGAAACACTGGGCTTCCCAAGGGGCGCTTCTTGGCCCAGTGTCCTGGCCTACCATTCACCCCTTAAAATGCACTTTTACGATCGGGTTTTGGGGAGCGGCGCCCAAACACAATTTTGTGAGTATGCTTCTGATGCTGAAGATATTTTTCAGTGTCATGAGGGAGATATTAAAACAGTTATTCAAAACAAGAGTTTCCGTAAAATTATTTCAATTCTTCTGAAAAAAAAGAACGGGCATTTAATATTTTCTAACTTTTGAAACGAATGGGCAAAACTCCTTTTTTTTTCTTTTCTTTTTTTAAATATACATGCAGTAAAGGCCTATTTACAAATTTTGAAACCTGAAATCTCCGTTCAGATTTTCAAGAGGGTCCTTTTTTTCTTATAGGCCTATAGTAGTTTGGTACGTATAGATTCCCAACGAATAAATTCAGACAACAATATTTCATTGGCTAAAGTAACAAATCTGTCAAAATGGTTTTCGTCAAAGGTAAGGATTTCACTGGTGGAGCAGACCTGTAGAGAGAACTGCTCAGGGGTTTTCCGTCGCCTCGGCCCACCTTTTCGGTCATTGGCCGAAATACAACAGCTGTTATTATACTTTATAAACAGGTCGCATTTCCGGCCATTTTTGCCCACAATTTGAACATCAAAAAGCTCGACCAAATGAAGCAGAAACTCGTCTGGCTCCCAAACGGCATTCAATAATTGATGACGTCATCACAATACTTATTGTGGTCAATTGCTCGCTTGAAAGTTTTGGGATTTTTGCTACAGGGAGTTCTTGTAGAAAAAAATACAAAGTACTCTCTCCCACAGTTTTTCCGCTGC